GACTCATTGTAATTTCTTTTTCTTTTCTTTTTTTCTTTTTTTGTTATAATTGAAGGTGTTGTTTAGTTATAATTTATATAGTAGTCATTTTAATTATGAATGAAAATAATTTGGTTATGAAAATTTATAATATCAATACCATAAAGTAATAACTGGTATATGATACATTCCTTTTGGAGGTGTATAATAGAATGACTCATTTTAGTAGGTTCATTGTAATTAGAAAGAAAATTCATAATAGAGGGACTATTATAATTTGAAGAACACAGTATTCTTCCAGTCAAATATTACTTGAAATGTTGGAAAGTGATTAACGATGCATTATGTCCACGATGTCTTAAGGACGAGGAAACAAGAACATCTTTTTTTTCCAATGCCCCGAATCGCAAAGAATTTGGAGGGATAGCAATTTGGGACTAGATTTGTCAATTGGAGAAACCATTGCCTTTTCCTGCCTGGTTGGATAGTTGGAGATCCCCGGAGCCAAAGATAATTTATCTACTTATAGCAGTATTATGGGTCATACGGAAACAACGTAATAGTGTTGCTTTTAAAGGAACAATAGTGTCTTGTGTTCAAGCCATTGATTTAGTAAATGATTTGGTGGTATTATTACATAAAAGAAAAAGCATTCAAGATATGGTTGATGGGTCATCATTGGAAGCTTCAATATTGGAAAAAAAATCTAACCCAGGAACGGACCATCACTCTTGTCTTTTAGCAAAATCTGACTTTACTGATGGTTGTATGCTTCATCATTGACGGTTCATGGAGGAAGGAAGATGGTAGTGCTGGTATCGCTTGGATATGCTACCGGGAGGACGGTGGACCGATGGCACAACACACTCAACAAATGCATCTTGACTCTCCATTTACAACGAAAATTGTGGCATGTAATCAAGCAATCCAATGGGCAAAAGAGTGTAATCTTCAGCAAATCCGCATCTGGACGGATTACAAGCTTTTAGTAGATGTTCTATGTAATAGGGTTAGTCCTGCTTGCTTGGTCTATTAGTACTGTTATAGCTGAAATAAAGATGGCTAATAGGTCTTTTGATTATCTGTGTATTTGTAAGGTCTAGCGGCAGGATGTTAAACACACACATGACCTAAACAGATCTGTAAACAATTTTCCTACTTAATATATTATATCATGGTTTGTTTGGTTCTCAAAAAAAATATTTGTTGAAGTTTGATTATTTTTATCTTTTGAGCCAATGTTGAACGAAGTTTACTTAATCTAAGCTGGAAAACTTTTTTTTTTTCATAGTACATGTAAGTTTATCAAGCTTAGTTCCGAAAATTAGAGAGTTTCAAAATATATTTAAGTTTGACTTCCTAATATAATGAGCCAATATGAAACGTATTTTGGTTCATTTTACAATGGTATTCAAATCTATCATGGTACACTTTCTCAAAAGAACAGAATCATGAGTAAAGCAAGTTTCTCCCATTAAACCTACATTATACATCAACCATAAAATCAGATGATCGTCCATTAAGTTCCAAATTTTTAAAAATAGTAACATTACCAGCTTTATGTTCTATCATTCAAAGAAAACAATTTTTTTATTTTTTTTTATTTTTATTTTTTTTATGTGGCAAAAACACAGAAATAACATGTTTGGTACAAATATTTCCAAAACGAATATCAAAACAAAAACAAAAAAGCAGAAAAACATGTTCAACGAATTGTTGGAGGGAGGTGAGGGTGGCTGGAGGAGGGAAAAGGAGAAAGAGAAAGAAAACTAGTCACTCTGGTTCCAGTCAAACAGAAAAGCCATGCCAGGTTGGGAAAAAATGAAAAAAATTGGAAATTTTGGATTCATTTCAGGGTGAACTACAACATAAAGAATTCGAATTAAATTTCAGGTGGAGCCACAAATAGTATGAATTGCATGTAAATTTTGCCTGACTGAGAGAAACGATGACAAAGCTGAGCATGACATGAAATTAAGAATGCTGATGACTCCTAAAACATCATCCCTAAATTTACTCTTAGTGGAGAGACACACTCCAAAACCCTGAATCCCAGGTTGGGTTAATTAGCTGGTGATCTTGTCAAAACTTCAATTGGTCGTAAGCCATTGTTGGAGGTCTAGCGAGTCACTAGTAGTGGTAGAAGGAAAGGACAACTTATGTTTTTCAATCTTCAGGCCTTGCATGTGTGATTTGGGCTACCATTATGTTTAAAAAGGGATTTATCCTCAACTCTTCCTCCGAAAAAGGGCGATTAATGTGGTTGCTTGATCCTTCATTGTTGGCTAGCCAAAAATGCTCTGAGGAAGAAAGGGAAAAGAATTGCAGCAAATTGGTCTGCAACAGGGATGTCTGATGTGGCACAAGACTCTTGGGAAGAATTGAACATCTGTTTGGATCCCATGAATGTCGAGTTAATTAAATCATCTACTGGAGTGCCATCATGGTTAGACACATGATTTCGAGCAGTGTTTTAAGGAAGTTGTTGAGGTAAATGAGAATGTTAATGAAATGCTTAACAATTTCCTGTCAGCATACAAGGAGATGGAGGCAACACCATACGTGGATGTAAGCTTTCATGCACACATGGACCCCGACGAACCACAGTTTGACCCGAGTGGGATGGAGTCAACTTTTAGTTTTGCTGAGGAGTATGAAGAGGACGGGGTGAGCGATATCAAAAGGTATGCATCAGGACACACCATCTCCCTTACCTAACACAAGCTCTGTTGAGGAGCATTCTTCTACTATTGGAGCATCTTTCTCATCTATTTCTGATCACAACAAAGGAATGAAATCTACTCAAAGGAGGTATCGTTCCAGACCAAGGCAAGTCTACATATGTAGGAAATCCCTTTTGATCAATCGAGATATATGTAATTGGTTTAAAGGTGGCAAAATTTTCAGTTCTTTCATAAACAAGGGATGCCCTTCCTTGGTAATAGTTAAAGTTCAGCAAAATGCTCCAGATTTTCAGGCAACAAGCAATAATGATTGTGATATGGAGGTTAATTTGTGCCCTACTGTTCAACCTTCTCTACCCCCTCTTCAGATACAAGTGATGGTTCGCTACGCGAGGTCAGTCAAGTCAAAAACCCCCAGGACAGTTTGGTTTTGGACATGAGCAATGAACATATCCAAGGGTCCACGCTACCACGGGACAAATCTGATCATGTGTATTGTAATGGAGTTAATGATGTGGGTTCTAAGAGGGCAGTGAAATACAATGGTCGCGGCATTCGGATGAAGGGATGACTTGTAAGTCATAATACTTTAGAAGCTGTTAATGGCACTCAGCCATTTGAGAACCATGCACAAAGGAAATGCAAGCGAGGACATGCCATTGACGATAATTACAGTGAGCCTAGTCTTTACAGAGCTAACTCTGGTCCTCTGCTCTGTTTTTGTTTTAGCTTTGTCTTTGCAGGTAAGCTCATTTGTTGAATTCCCCAAGCTTATGTTTTGACGGTCGGCAGAATCTGAAGCTTGCAGCGCCATATATTATGTAGGCGAGGTGGTCTTCATCAAAGTTCAATGGTTTTTTGATGCAACACAAGCATTGATACCTGGAATTCCTTTATTCCCTTTGCTGGTTATGTTATATCTTTATTTCCTTTGCTCAGTTTATATTTTCTATATCTATGGATCTTGTTCCTAATAGTTAGATACTATGTTCTGTTTGGCGAGTGTAAGGCTCTCTATTGTACTACTTTTTATTGGAACCAAGTTCTTAATTTTGCCAAATAAAAAATTTAGATGATGTAAACTGTTAGACGTCAGTTGTTGATCGGCCAACCAAAACCCAATCCCTAGCCGGAACAGTGTGGGGGTTAAGTTCATGGATGATAATTTAGGGGTGCAACCATGGTTGTGAAATTGGTGGAGGGTCTCACAGATCGAACGAGAATCCTATGATTTTTCATTTTATAATATAAAAAAATAAGGCAAAAAATACTAAAACGGATAATAATGTATATTAAAATAAGATGGAAAAAACACCAATAATGATCATGCAAGTGAAATCCGACAAAAGAAAATCACCTCTGCAAATCCGACAAAAGCTTTGGAAAATTATATAAATTTCAAATTTCTGAAAAGAGAGTTACCATTTTTTCTTAAAATTCCTCAACACTAAGAAAACATAATTTGGTACACTTCATAGTTTGAAAGTCCAAACAGACGAAAAAGTCCAACGGTTAACTTTGTAAAATCTCCCTAGAGGAATCAGTGTTGTGTAACTATTCTCACAACCACCATTACCAGCACCATGCACAGTTCCCAACCCCTAAATCAAAATGGCCATCATAAATATTTACATAGTTGTAACAGTAAAGACCAAATGGAGCTCTGAAACTCAGAAAATATTTGAAAAATACGTATATCCTTCAAAAACCCAAATAAATTCTAAATGATATCGAAAATGAAATTCTAATTGAAAATAATGTATGCTCTTCGGCAAATATTGCCATTTCCGAGAAAACCCTTTTGTAGCAACCCAAGGACCCACCTAACATGTACTCAAGAAAGTTCAAATCATTCAAGAAATCTTGGAACATAGTATCAACTGGGATGATCCTTAATTTGCAATGACAAAAGAACATCAGGTATCCTCACATAATGGCAATTTCCCCCATGACTCAGCAAGAACGAACTTAGATATTTTTTTAATGTTCTTATTCCACACTACATTTGATGTTTTTATAAGAAAAAAATAACGCCTACAAAAAATAAGTAAACACTCCATGTTTTTATATGATAAAGTAAAAGCAGCACTTATAACCAACAACAGAATAGCAAACACCATTATGGGCACACAAAACATTTCAAATTTTCATCCATCAGCTTTACATGCAAAAACAAAACAACACAGCATCTCAAAACACTACACACGATTGTACTTCAAATAGCACGATAAATCTACCCCAGTGCTATCTTCCCTATGCCTGTTAGCCAATTTGTTTTGTACCAAAAATGCCTCACTTGTAGCACCAGAAACAAATTGTGCAATGTGCACATATACATACAACCAAAAGCAATATGGTCCTAATAATAATTTATCAATTAAAACATCTTCAATAAATATGGAGAGGTCCCAACAACAATAATTTAATCACAAGATTAGACAGGTGAAAAACATAAGCAAGAGACTCAGTGGCCACAACCAGACTTCAATAACATTAATTGACTCCCTGCCAAAAAAAACTACCTCAATATCACAGCTTAAGTGCAACTAAACGCCTCATGCTTGTGGCACAATGAGACACTCAGTATATATGAATAATTTAGAGTTTATCTCGCCCAAATCAAAGATCACAGACATAAGAATAGGCACTTCAAATTGTGATATTGTACCTCAAATCATGCTCCTACAGGTCCTGGCATTCGAGGGGGTCCTGATGGCCCTGATGGTCGATAATAACCCTGCCCCCTCATTGCTAAAAGTCTCTCAATCTCCTCACCTCGGCCTACTTTCCCAAATTCTTCATTTAAAAACTCCTTCAGTACAGGAGTAACACCAACATTATACCTCAACATCTGACCCAGCAATTCAACACTCATGTCGAAATTACTTTCCTTGCCAAGCCCCCTAATCACAATATCATAGCTCATGGCATCGGGTTTTGGATCTCTTTCGCCCATTTTTGTCAGAATCGGCGCACACTCCAAGACTTTACCTTTCTCAATCAATGCGCCAAACCATCTGTTGGCATATTCTGGAATCACTCTTAAGCCAGCCTCTACCATCTTGGAATACTTCTGCAATGCATCATCAACCCTACCCACCTTAAAAAAAGCATCAATTAAGGTCTTGTAAGTATTAACATCCGGGGATAGCGACTTTGATGACAATTCCACATGCATTTTCTCTGCATCCTCCATCATCTCATGCTCGCAGTACCTCGTGATAATGTTATTGTAACCCGCCACATCCATGGCGAAAGGCTTTGACCCGGCTTTCTTACCCACTTTCTTGAACACATCAAATGCCTCAGAAATTTTCCCCAACTTGAAACACTCATTAACCATTATATTGAAAGTATCCGAATTTACCCCTTGGAAAGTAGGCGGAGTGTGAGTATCCAACATGTTATCGAACAACGCCCAAGCCTCCGTTTTCTTCCCATGCTTAAGCAACACTTCCAAGAGCACATTGCAAGTTGCTGGAATCATCTTGAATTGCCGATCAAGCAACGATTTATACGATTCCATCGCTTCCTTATCCCTTCCTCGATTGAAAAACCAATCCATAAAAGTCGCATTGACAACCCCATCATAAACCAAGCACCGTTCTTTGAGCTCATCGAAAAGCTCATTAGCCTTATCCAAATTGTCGAGGTTGAGAAAACCCAAAATCAAATTATTGTAAACGATCGAGTCAGCGCCGTGGCCCTTATTGAGCATTTCGCGGAGGAGATCGACAGCTTCACCAATACGACCGGCATCGATTAACCCTTTTGTGAGATGACGATAGGTTACATGAGAAGGGCTAAAAGGGGCATTAGCGAGAATGTGACGATAAACATCGAGAGCGACATCGACGCGACCGGAATCGCAATGTGTGTTGATCAATACATTGTAGGAGACAACATTGGGGACGATATTGGCTTGATTGTAGAAGAATTGGAAGAGAGCGACGGCGTCGTCGTAGCGCTTGGAGCGGTACATGGCGGCCATGATGGCGTTGCAGGTGAAGACGGTGGGGCGAGTGTTGGAGAACACGGACTGGCGGGCGACGACGGAGGCGTGGTGGAGATCGCCGGCGCGGATGAGGGATTGAACGCGGTTGTGGAGGTTGAGGCGGGGGCCGACGAAGCCACACTTATAACCAACAACAGAATAGCAAACACCATTATCACACAACATTTCAAATTTTCATCCATCAGCATTACATGCAAAAACAAAACAACACAGCATCTCAAAACACCACACGCAATTGTACTTCAAATAGCACGATAAATCTACCCCAGTGCTATCTTCCCTATGCCTGTTAGCCAATTTGTTTTGTACCAAAAATGCCTCACTTGTAGCACCAGAAACAAATTGTGCAATGTGCACATATACATACAACCAAAAGCAATATGGTCCTAATAATAATTTATCAATTAAAACATCTTCAATAAATATGGAGAGGTCCCAACAACAATAATTTAATCACCAGATTAGACAGGTGAAAAACATAAGCAAGAGACTCAGTGGCCACAACCAGACTTCAATAACATTAATTGACTCCCTGCCAAAAAAAACTACCTCAATATCACAGCTTAAGTGCAACTAAACACCTCATACTTGTGGCACAATGAGACACTCAGTATATATGAATAATTTAGAGTTTATCTTGCCCAAATCAAAGATCACAGACATAAGAATAGGCACTTCAAATTGTGATATTGTACCTCAAATCATACTCCTACAGGTCCTGGCATTCGAGGGGGTCCTGATGGCCCTGATGGTCGATAATAACCCTGCCCCCTCATTGCTAAAAGTCTCTCAATCTCCTCACCTCGGCCTACTTTCCCAAATTCTTCATTTAAAAACTGCTTCAGTACAGGAGTAACACCAACATTATACCTCAACATCTGACCCAGTAATTCAACACTCATGTCGAAATTACTTTCCTTGCAAAGCCCCCTAATCACAATATCATAGCTCATGGCATCTGGTTTTGGATCTCTTTCGCCCATTTTTGTCAGAATCGGTGCACACTCCAAGACTTTACCTTTCTCAATCAACGCGCCAAACCATCTGTTGGCATATTCTGGAATCACTCTTAAGCCAGCCTCTACCATCTTGGAATACTTCTGCAATGCATCATCAACCCTACCCACCTTAAAAAAAGCATCAATTAAGGTCTTGTAAGTATTAACATCCGGGGATAGCGACTTTGATGACAATTCCACATGCATTTTCTCTGCATCCTCCATCATCTCATGCTCGCAGTACCTCGTGATAATGTTATTGTAACCCGCCACATCCATGGCGAAAGGCTTTGACCCGGCTTTCTTACCGGCTTTCTTGAACACATCACGGACTGGTTTCACAAGTTGCCGGAAGAAACTGTGAAAACCTGGGAAGGCTTGGCCGAGATGTTTATGGCCAGGTTTGTGACAAACAAACTACAGCCGTTAAGGGTAGACACCTTGATGGCTCTGAAAATTGACAACAATGACAATGATGATAAAATTAGTAATGGTGGTAGTGGTGGTAGCGGCGACGATAGCAACAGTAGCGGTGGCATGGGGTGGTTGTGTTGGTAGTGGTGGTAGCGATAGCGATAATTGTGATAGTAGTAGCGGTGGCATGTTGGTAGAGGTGGTTGTAGTGAATTTATAATAGTGCAGGGAACAACCTAAAAAAAATTATAATATTAAAATAATTATTTTTTAAGTATATTTTTAAGATTTTTTTATTTTATATTTTTTAAGAACAATTCAAATAATATTGTGAGAAAGAATCATGAAAAAAATTAAATATCTATTTTTAATTTTAATAATTTTTGGTTTCCTCCTTATTATCTATAAATTATTTTTTATTTGCTTAATCAAATTTAAAACTATATTCGTACATAATTTCTTTAGGTATCCTATCTTTTTTTTTCCTTCAATTTTAATATTTTTTGGAGTCCTCTTATTATCTACAATTAAATCGTTAATCAATAAATATATCTGTGGGGACATTTTTTTGAATGACAACACGTGGCCGAGGTGTCACCGAAGTGCCAGCCGAGGTGCCACGTGTCCTGGTCATGACGCCGAGATCATCTCGGCTAGGCCGAGGTTATCCGCGAAGATACCGGAATCCGAGATAAGCGGATAAGGGACAAGAGTCCTAGATGGGAGAAGACTTCAGTTTGGATAAAAATAAGACTCTTAGAGAGTTTTATCCTAATCCTACTGGGAGTCCATTAGAGCTAGGCTTCTATTGGGACTAGAATTGTGTTGGCTATAAAAGGGAAGGCACCCTCATGGATCTAAAGCATGCTTTTTTATGCTCTGAACAGTGAGTTATGCATTTTTGCTATCTTTGAGAGATAACTGACTTGATCGTCGGAGTGCCTCCGGGTGGACGAACAACCACCGGAATCTCTTCTTTTTGTGACAGGTCGTTCGGGCTTAATCTATTCTGCCAGTATTCTCCAACTGAGTGCTTGATTGGCAGTGTAGTCGGAAATTGGCACACACAATTTGGCGCCATCTGTGGGAAAGAAAGAAGAATAGATGGCCAACGACAAACAGAAAGAGAAGATTGAGGACGACACCCTTACTGAGAGTGGGAAACCTGTAGACCTTGACGTCGAAGGAGACAACTGCAACAGAGAGACACACGATGAAATTCACGAAAGAAAGGACGTCGGCTAGGAGGGCGACGTACCGAAGAAATCAAACCGAAATAAGTATTATAACGAGGATAACCTCCAGGTATGGAATTCTACAGAGGGATGAAGAGATGAAGGGGATGGCGAACAAATTGGCAGACATGCAATCGGTCATCAATTTCATGATGCAAAACAATGTCATGTAGCCACCGTTCTCGCTACAGGACACGCCGATTCCAGCGGCCAATGCCCAGAAGGGAGGGCAGAAAACAATCCCTATAGCCCCCCCAGCACACTAGGAGCGAAAAAAACTCTTACCGGCCTTCAAGGGAGGTCGGGCGAGGAGAGTCGAGAAGGGAAGAATCTCGAAGGACACATCGCACCAAGGAAGCGGACCCCAAAGAACATTGGCATGTTCAAAGGCAGGAGCTGTGCTTCGACGCAACTAATGGAGAAAGGTCGAAAAGGGCTCACAATGAAGCTGAGAGTAGTGCACCGAAAAGACTGAAATCAGGAGATAGCCGAGCTCCTAGGCAGACCAAAAAGGACTTGAGAGATTACCTTAAGAGGAAGCAACAAAATGCCAAGGTAACTTCCACTGTTAAGCCGAGAACACCATTCTCGGTGGAGTTAGACAAATTTGAGGCCCCAAAAAGATTTAGTACGCCGAGGTTCCAGATCTACGACGGGAAGTCAGACCCCAACTTTCACGTTGGTTTGTACCTAAACTCGATGGCGTTATACACCGGGAACAAGCCGTTGCTTTGCAAGGCGTTCCCCTTATCTTTCAGAGAAATTGCATCGGACTGGTTTCACAAGTTGCCGAAAGGAACTGTGAAAACCTGGGAAGGCCTAGCCGAGATGTTTATGGCCAAGTTTGTGACAAACAAACTACAGCCATTAAGGGTAAACACCCTGATGGCTCTGAAAATTGACAATGACGAAAGCCTGAGAACCTATGCCTAAAGGTATTATGAGGTATTCAACCAAATACCCGAGTGAAACTAAGAGGTGGCGGTCGTGTCTTTCAAGAACGGCCTAAAAGATGATTGTCCACTACGAAAGTCATTGGCAAAGACATTGCCAAAAAGCATGGAAGAGCTCATTGCCAGAATTGAGAAATATGCCAGAGCCGAGGAAGACACGCCAGGGACTAAGGAGACAAAGCAAGAAAAAGGAAATGGCTCGCCGAAGCGAGGCCGAGGTAACAATGGATCCAACAAACAAGAGATAGGACTGAGGGCTACACAGGTAGCACAACTGTATTCCGAATTCCAATTCACAAAGTCCTGGATAAAATCTGAGCCCAGCCCTATTTCAGAGCACCAGCAAGGATACCAGGTGAGTTCATGGGAAGAAGCCTTGGTAAGCATTGTGCTTACCACAATGAAAATAGGCATCTGACTCAGGGTTGTAGAGCCCTGAAAGCACACCTGGAAGACCTGGCAAGGCAAGGCCATTTAAGGGACCTTGTAGATGAAGCCAGGACAAGGGAAGAGCAGGCAAGACTGCCTTAGGCACCAGCAGCTCCACCTCTCCCAGCACAGCAATCGCAGGCAGGCGGACCTCGAGTAATTAATGTAATTCACTCGAAGGTCAACGAAAACGAAATACGAGGGGAGACCCAGAAGGTCAAGCACTTGCAACATGTGTACCAGGTCCAGAAGAAAAGACCTCAAGATGAGGAGTGCCAGGGACCAGTGGTGTCTTTTACTGAAACCGACCTTGAGATGGTGCAGCATCCACATAACGATGCCTTGGTAGTATCCCTCCAGGTTGGGGAGCGCCAAGTGAAGCGCATCCTAATTGACCAAGGCAGCTCTTGTGACATCATGTATGTCAGGTGTTACAAGGAGCTTAGCCTTCACCCAGACAATATGGAGCAGTTCAACAGCCCAATAGTCGGGTTCAATTGAACGCCGACGTGGCCACTAGGAGCAGCAAGCTTAGAGGTGCAAGCTGGCACCAAAAAGATAAAAATAGAATTCACCATAATCGACACACCCTCCCCCTACAATGTTATCTTGGGAAGGCCATGGCTGCATGCAATGGGGGCTGTTCCCTCAACGTTGCATTAGCTATTGCGGTTCCCAACAGAGCATGGGATAGAGGAGGTCAGAGGGGATCAATTGTAGGCAAAGAACTGCTCCACGGCAGTAATGAAATCTACCTGCAGCATACGAGAACCAGAGACAGTAGAGATCGAAGACAAAGACGTAGAAGTCCTAGATGACGCCGACAAGGAGCCAGCCGAGAAAAGTGAGAAGCCCTAAAGAAAATCCTTGTCCAGTAAGGAGATGAGGAACGCTTCTTCCTTTTCGGCTCGGGCTTAGCCGAGGAAGAGGAAAAAGAATTGAAGGCTTTCTTGAGAGTAAACATTGAGGTATTTGCCTAGACGCCTTACGAGATGTATGGCATTGACCCTGAGGTCACTTGCCATAAACTGAACGTAGACAGGTCGGCCAAACCTGTAATCCAACGAGTAAGAAGACCGACGTTGATGCATGTTGAGGTAGTGGAAGAGGAAGTAGATAGACTTCTGGAGGCCAAA